CATGCAGAGTCATGCAGTGATCTAGTTGAACATGCAGAGTCATGCAGTGATCTAGTTGAGCATGCCGAGTCACCTGCTGCAGGTCGAGCATCCTTTGAATCTCCTGGAAGTCACACGATTCGTAGGCAACGGGCTTGGACAGCTCGGTCTCAACGTGGGCGAGCCAAGAGCGCAGGCTGCTCATGTTTTTATCCAGCTGCTGCACGGCCACTAGAGTTTCTCTCAGCTTCTTCGCTCTGTTTACAGAATTAAGGAGATTAAATCAAAACTAGAGAAACTGCATCTCCTATAAAAATACAGAGATGAGAGCTGAATGACTGCTGAAACTCGCTGAAGAAGCTAAAACAGAAAAGTTAAAAGAAGCAGAACAGGGCTAAATTCAGTAAAATGGTAGCTAAAAGCTAAAACGTGCAACACTGTCACATAAAGCTAAAATAACAAAAAAAGTGGCTAAAAGCTGAAAATAGGGGAAAAAAATAGCTAAAATAAAAACAGTAAAATTAAAAATGATGAAGCAGATGTCAAACAGAGAAATGCTTTTAAACTGGACATTTCTACTTTATGGGGAATTTTATTGTAAATAAATTTAGCTGAAAGTTTTGATTTATATTGTTAAAATAGCTCAATGTATGTCGAACTCTACACAGGAAAACAGTAAATTCAGACTCAGCACTCAAATAAGTAAATGTTTCACCCGGAGTAAAATAAAATAAACTTTAGACAAACAAGTTTTAATGCTCTCACCTGGCTCCAATAAGGTCCAGCAGGTGCTGCCAGCGGTCGTTGACTTTGGAGAGCTTCTGCTCGATGTCAGCGGCTTTGCTCGGGTTGCTGGCTCTGGCAAGGCGCTCTCCGAGCCGATGCAAATGCTGCTTGTTCTCCTCTGCCACTGTTATCTCCTCCTGGTAGTCCTGAGATTTAATTTAAAAACAGTCAATGTCTAAATTTGACACAGCTAAAAAGTTACATATGTAAAGTCGACAAATTGTGAATGGGCAACAGGTTCAACAGCTCAGTCTTAAAGTCGGCGAGCCCAGAGTGCAGTGAATATGTTAAAATGCATAAACAAGCGCTACGTCGCTAATCGCCGAGGGATTTGAACAGTGAATGTTTGTAGTTTTGGAGATGAGAGTTTTTCTGGGCAGGAAATACAAGTCAACCTTAATTTTTTTGGTGTCCGATATTCAAGAGGGTAGGAGTTACAGTGTGTATGAATATGTACTTTTATATATTGTTTTGTATATTTTGTTTGTCCGAGGCAGCTCAGAGTGATGGAGAGTGGAGGGAGCAATTTTATTCACCACCAGGTGCAGTGGAGGAGCCACCACAATCATTTGAAGAAACTCATATTTTAAACAATATAAAAACTAGACAGCCTAGTTTCCTCAAATGATCAGGGTGGTTGGTTTATATAAGGTGGCCATCTTGGATTTTGATGTGGCAACCCAATTTTCCAAAGGAACCTTTCTTATGACTAGATGCATTTCTAGTTTATTCTGAGCACCTTCGTCTTAACCTTGTTGATCCTCAGATCGCTCTTGGCTGATGTTTCTGCTAGCTTGGTTGCTTTTTCCTGCATTTGATGATGGTTATGTGACAACAAGGCTAGGTTGTCTGCATAATCAAGGTCGTCTAGCTGCACCCATGGTGTCCACTGGTTCCCTGTCACCTCCTTGGTTACTGATATGATCCAATCAATGGCCAATAGGAAAATGAAAGATGATATAAATCACTGGTGTGGATGTCAATTTTTGTGGACTATGGGAAGGCATTTTTTCATTCAACCTTTAATTATACAGGTTAGTTCCCACTGAGCCTCAACGACTCATTTACATGAGACCTGTGCTGATCATGAGACTCTATGGAATTTTGATTTTATGAAATTCCAGATAAATTTGTGACCTTAATTAAAGCCAGCTACGAGGGAATGACTTGTCGAGTTGCACATGAGGGTCAGCTATCAGAAACTTTAAAAGTTAGAACTGGAGTACAACAGGAGTGAACAATCTGATGTTCATTTTAAATGTAGCGCCTGTGAAACCATGAACACGTATAAATGTTAGTCTGCGAAATCATGAAAAACAAAATGAGTGAAGACGCTGCACTTCTGGCTGACGGTTAACTGAAACTCTCAGCCTCTGTTACCATGGAGACCTCGCCACACACAGATCCTCTTCCGTGACACTGAAAACTCTGACCTTTAATTCACCACAGATGACTAAGCAGGACATCTAGCCTCAGAATATACTGCAAGTTTTATCACATTGTAGTCATGCAGTTCCATGGAAAACAACAATAAACAAAGCAGATGTAATAAGAAACAAGCTGCAAACTGCCAGGGACGTCTGCACGAGCGCACCTACCTTGCGGAGCTTTTCGATCATCTCCTCAATGCTAATGTCTCCATTCTGGGACACCTTGCTCTCCATTCTGGTGAGCCACTCACAGAGTTCCTTGTACTTGTCGTTGAAGACCGTCCACTCGTTCAGTTTGTCACCCACCTGCTGTCTGCGCAGTGACAGCTGAGGAAACACACACGCAGTGTTAACCTACTCTCCATGGAAAACTAATGAAAACAATCTAAGTTTGTTTCTGGAAGGAAAAAAAACACACAAAACTTCTAAAAGTTTAGAAAAGGAAGCCGTCAGAGATCACTGAAACGTGACTGCTTCATTTGCATTACTCAACGTGTGTGTTTCTGTTTCCTGTGTGTGTTTTATCTGCTCAACACAGGATGCAACCATGAAAAAAATAAAATCTTGAGGTTTCAGCAGCGTTCTGCAGTGAACGATGCACGCTAGAATAAGAGCAACAAGCAGTAAACCTCTTAAAATACATGTTGACAAGCCACGCTGAGGATAATTTACAAGATTTCTTCCATGTCTAATAAATGTGATAAAGGCAGAAAGTGGGCCATAATGCTTTTATTCTTGCCCTAGTGTATTTGTCTATTTTTCTGTTAGCAAAATACGTCATGATCCTTTGAACAAAATGTAATGAAAATCACAGAAACTAATCATTGGATGTACATCTACAACTGATTAACTTTTGCAGTAAATCAAATTAAGGATGGTCGCCAAAGCTAATCAAACTTATCAAACACAAACATGACAATAAAACAATGAACTTTACATATATTTACTTAAACTTCATTGTTATAGCAGCTGAAAATGATCCCCAACAAAAACTCTAAGCACTAACTGTTGAATAATCTGATTCTGGGAATAATGCTGAAGCCAATGTTAGTCTGTTGGAGAAATATGTTATCAATGACTGAACAAATATGAAACTTTCAGAATCTTATCATTAGATTAACATCTACACTTGATATACTATTGGAGTAAAAATAAATCCAACATGGCCACTGGACCTAAAGTTTTATGTGGTAGTAGCTGAGAGTCATTCATGACACATCACATTGTCGTAGACTATTATATTATTTAAAGAATTGACCAACACAATTATAACTCCGTTATTTCTCAACATAGTTTAAAACTTTGACATATGAATTCTTTCATGCAGTGCAAGGCCTTAAAGTAGGATAAACTTACATTATTTTTTGTTTTTGTTTACTACAGTGTGATGCCATCAACACCTTCCTGTATGTTGAGGAGCTGCATAGACTATAAAAGTACTGCAATATGGTTTTTATTAAATATTACTGTAGGATACAGAGTGAAACTAAATTAATTTCATACCAATTCAAGTAACAGTGCAGTTCATTTAGGCAGAATTCAGATTTCATTACACAGAAAGGCAGTTTGGAGAGGGATGTACCTGGTGGATGATTTCATCCCACTGCTGATGCAGAAGTTCAACCCGTTCCTGCAGAACGGTGAGGTCCTCAGAGCTGATGTAGCAAGACAGTGACTCTCTCAGTAGAGTCAAATGAGCCAAATCCCCAGTCCAGCCTTCACACGTGCTCTCCAGATCCTGTTATTGAAAGCAAGTTATTACTAAAACCTTAAGTTTAATTAAATCAGTTACTAGCTCCATGTGATGGGAATAAAAAGCTCAACAAACGAGGAATATTCAAAAACAACCGTATAATGATTTTATACTTTTCAAGAGAAGGTGCCCAAGGCCAGTGGTTCCCAAAATGTGCGGGTGGTGGGACAACAGAATGGAAAAAAAAAGAATGCTTGGACACTGCTAGTGTAACAGGTTAATTATATTGCTCTAAGTCAGGGGTTCCCAACACTGGTCCTTGAGGAACACCATCCTGCATGTTTTAGTTGTTTCTCTGCTCCGACACATCTGATTTTAATAAATGGGTGATTAACAGGCTTCTGCAGAACTTGCTGAATTAAATACTGAATCAGATGTGTTGGAGCAGGAAAACAACTAAAACATGCAGGATGGTGTTCCTCAAGGACCAGGGTTGGGTACCACTGCTTCAAATTCCACCAAACCAGTCATGATTTGTTAAGCAAATCAGTAATTTTTTGTCTTAGTACCTGTGTGAGCAGGTACTAATATAAGTGTAGTATGACATAATGCAGTATTGTCATGTTATTCCACATGGCACATTCTAAGACGGGCTAGATGCTACTTTGGGCTACTGGAGGTAAAACGTGTGATGCCCTGGGTTCTGACATAATAAATGTTTCTTGCTTGATTAATGTTTATAAGTTGTATATATGTACTTGTGTGGGAATGTTGTTTCTTTGACAACAGAACATTATCTGACCTAATTGAGCCAAAATATGTTATATTTGAATGTATAGTAAGCTAATGTTAGCTTGTGTGTCACAGTTATGCTACCACTGCATCATGTGTTGCACCTTTTTTTAGTTTTACAGATTATTCTTTATTTTATATTGTATTTTCTTGTAAAGGTAGGTGTCTGGGACCAGGCTGTTAAGAAGTACTGAAAAGAAGTGAGAATTAAATGTCTCATTTTTGCTCAAAAAAACTTTTTTTTCCTCTCAGGGAGTTAGTCGTGTTTTTAATCCCATTTTGTGTGAAGAGGCATTTTTTGAAAAATAAATAAATAAAAATATTGATAGCAATGTTGAATATTGTTATCCAGTAAAAACAAAACAAAACAAATACACTTAAAATAATTACACGGTAAGAGCATTTAGTTAATTAAAAGAGGCTGTAGTTCATATTGCAACCTGTAATTTATTGCCGTTTACTTTTATTAGTTCAACTGTTCCAAAAAAAGTTGGTGTAAAATACGTAAACTGCAACGGAGTTTGAAAACAAAATGTGTGTACTGAGCGAGGTGCGGACATTTTCTTCTAAATAAAGGGGGCCCAGCAGATAAAGGTTGGGGACCACTGCCCGAGGCAATGATGCTCGTTACTGGAGCTGTACAAGAGGAGCAGGCCGGTACCGGTACCTTGCAGCGCAGCTGCTCCACCTGCAGATCTTCATGGTGATCAGGAAGAGGTTGAGACAGCTGCCGTTTAAAGGCTCGTAGTTTTTCCAGCGATCCAGCAATTCCCCTCTCGCAGCCCTCCCAGTCCTGCATTGGCATAATACACAAATGTGACACCAAACCTCCAAAAGCAGCTGCACTGTTTGTAAAACCGTGGCTACAGCTGTAATCCTAAAAAACAACAAGATTTTATTTAGAGATATTAGTGGTGATGCATTTATTACAATAAAGTCACAAAGGATCACCGTTATGTGAGGAAGACATCATTTCTGTCCACAGTTACTATTTTTGTTCTGTTCAAATTCAAAACCCAGTAAAGGGAAACTTGTAGTTGTAAAACACAACGGACACTTTAATTTGGGTTAGCTACAAACAGTACATGCAGATTTAAATACTTACTATGTATTTGAATGTATTTTACTATGAAGTTAACAAGATATTACCTTAACAAGGCAAGATAACAAAAGATGAGAATTAACTATTTTACATGTTTAAACTAACTTATATTTTACTTTTTTCTTTTTAGTCGTATTTTTATTTTCTTTTTTCATTTTAATTATTTTACGCCAAACCAAGTATCTTTGTTTTTTCTGTGTAGCGATTTTAAGCATTTAGCACAATTAAAAACAAATTAATAATTTCATAAATCAAAAGAGGACTAGTTTAAAAACAGAAAATTTAATTTCCTCTAATAAGGTTTATAAAATCTGCTGTAAATGTATGTTTAACCAACTTTACATCAATGCCTTAAAGTAGTAGTATGAATTGTTTCTAACATGTTAGTTTTAAAGTGCGTTTGGTTTGAAGCTACGTCAATTACTCTTTAAAATTTATGATGTTTTGAATAAACTTTAGTTACTACAAAACATGAGCTCATGCTGTATTCACAGTCACCGACCTGTTATGAGTGCCCATGTAGGAATTATTCCTTGTTTAATTTGTTTTCTCATCATAGCAGGATGGATATGTTGAGGTGCAAAACTGCAAATATAACGTGTATCAAGAATAAGAGTGGTTTTGTCACAGTAACTGAGGGAAAACTACTTGAAGCTAAAATGTTCACCATTTTTATCATAGCATATTCATCTGTGAAGGTCTTTCTATTATGTAACTTTGTGTCCCGTTTGCCAAAAAATAAAATAATTATGATCTGAGCAAGCACCAAATTCCCAGACTGTCCAAGAAATGCATTGTCATGATTAAGATTCTCAATAATTTCTCTTCAGCTCCTGCTGTGTGTTTGTTCGTCTGTCCCTCCCCCCGTCAGAGGCAGCAGCTTCAGCATGGAGGCCCTGATGTCGTTCCCCAGCCAGCCCTTCGAGTTCTTCTGGGAGGACTCCAAGGCGTTCCCTGGCCAGCATGTCTTGGGTCTCCCCTCCTTGTCGGACATGACCAGAAAACCTCCCTAGGGAGGCATCCAGGGCGTACACTTACCAGATGCCTGAACCACCTCAACTGGTCTCTCTCGATGTGAAAGAGCAGCGGTCCATGTAACTCACTCGGACTGGTTCTGCTCCATGAGTAGAGGCCCGGTCACCAGGCGCTCGCCAACAAGTCGCTCCCCCAGGTCTGGCTTCAGGATGGGGTCCTGGTAACTCACAAGGCACATCAAGCTCCTTCTTGATGTCTGTCCACACGAGTGTTTTTAATCACTCTTTGTCTGGCCTACCTAGGACCAAGCCGCCTTGAAAGACCCTACCAGGAGCCATCGCCCCTGACAGTGTAGCTCCTAGGACCATTCAGGCTCACAAACTCCTCCACTACGATAAAGTAGACATTCACTGAGAAGCCTTGGTTTATTTGTGTAATTTAAACATTTTTCATCAATATCTGATGTTTACTGGGGGACTACAACTCTCATGTGGGCAATAATGGAACTAACTGGAAGTGGGTGATTTGGAGGAGCCACCTCCCTAATCTGAACCCAAATGATGTTCTGTTATTGGACTTCAGTGCTAGACACAGTGTCCATATTGCACTTGGTACCAGACAATCTAATGGCCAAAGGTTGATGATTGATTTTGTAATAATGTCATCAGAGCCTCGGCCTTACGTCTCGGACACTCGATTGAAGAAATAGGCAGAGCTGCCAACTGAACCCCACCTGGAGGTACGTTGGTTGTGGGGAATGTTGATGGCAGATTTGTTAAATCCAAACCGTAGAGTGAAATAAGGCAACTAGAGGGTGCAGTGGTCACGTGACATTGTTACTCACTGGAGGGACGGGAGCCATAACAAAAAGGGCAAGCATCTGGACTTGGCGTTGTTGTAGATACTGGCACACCCACTAAACCCCACTACACTCGCAGGCCCAGTGGTAAACGAGGGTGGCGGTTCCCATTTTTAAAAAGAGGGACCAGAAAGTGTGTTCTAACTTTTGAGGGATCTCACCTCTCGTCCTCCCAGGGTGTTGGAAGGAAGTCTCCAAACCTACAAGTTAGAAATGAGCCTTTTCCCAATAACTCAGTAAATCTAAGGCTCACATGTCCCAGCTTTTCACGAGCCTTGAACGCAGCACTACTTGTGTGAATCTGGAGCGGTAAGTCTCAAAAGTCACATTCACAGACAAGCTGATGTGTGCGCTCGTGTTGACCGATTCGTCCACAGCAGGTGATCAGTGCACGTGTATTTGACAATTTGTGCATGCAGAATTGTCCTACTTGTGCAAAGTGTACGTTTGAACAACAGTTTATGCATTTGTAAAACTTGCGGTACACTTGTGGATCTTATTATACGCAAACAAATCTGGTACGCTTGTGTGACTACTTTTATACTGATTTACCTTCAAATGTTGCCTTTTTAACACTGAAACCACGTGAGGAGAAGAACAATGCAAAATGTAAAAAACAAACTAACAAACAGCAGAAGTCCTTCCCATCTGGCTGTGTTTAGTTCAGTTTACCTTTAACAGTGTTCTGAGTGCTCTCTTGTGTTCCTCCAGGCAGGTGTTGGCTCGTTTCCATCGGTTCTGGATCTCGCTCAGCTCTGCCTGCAGAGCCGTCTCAGCCGGGCTGTCCGTCGACAGGAGCAGCTGTCTGCCAGCTTCAACTGTCAGGATGTAGCTGCCCTGCTGTCGCTGCAGCACCTTTTCCTTCAGCTTAATCACAAAAAAATATGTTATGACACTGCAGAACCCAGAAATCTAAAAGTTGGGACGTTGTTTAAAATGTTAAAAAAAAACACGTACAATTGATTTCCAAATCTCATAAATCCATAAATCGTTCACAATTTTGGTAACAGCTTCTGTTTTAAATGTGCTGTGTAAATAAAGCTGACTTGACAACTTGACAATGAAACATTTCAAATGTTTAAATTAGGAACTTGTCCTGTTTTTAGGAAATAAAAAGTAATTTTGAATTTGACGTCAGCTATGAATCTCACAAAAGTTGGACAGGGATGAGTTTTCCACTGTAAAGCTTCTTCTCATCTCTTCCCAAGAACTGAAGTGACCAGTCTAGTCTGATGTAGGACTCCAGCTGTTCAACACCTGGATTGTCATAAAAGAAAGGTTAAAACAGGTAATCTAGACAGATTCTTTTTGGGAGAAACATTTTGTCTTTCATCTAAAAGACTTCTTCAGTCTGAGGCCTGCCAACCCAGATCTGTCCCATAAATATCACCTCCTTGATGTGTTTCAAGCCAGCCTGCTGTGGAAATCCCAGAAACTGGCTTTACACCTGGATGTCTACCTGGATGCTACTGTCTACCTCTACATCTACCTGGATGATTGAGCTTTGGCCAGGTCTCCTCTGACTGTTTCTGTGAGCAGCAGGTTGAAGATCTGGCCTAAAACATTTGATTGTTGTACATGATGATTGGTTGTTTTGGATGGATGGTCCCCTCTTGCAAAGCCAGTTTCTGGGAATTCCACAGAGGGCTGGCTTTAAACACATCAATGAGTTGTTGTGTGTTTCCTTGACTGATGAAGCCTTCCGGATGGAAGGTGAAACGTTTCAGAAAAAAAAAAAAAAAAGAAACCGTCCAGAAGACCTGACTGAAAATTGTTGGATCAATGAGGTATTTATAAGACAGATCTGGGTTGGCAGGCCTCGGACTGATGGTAGATTCTAAGTTTTTCCAGTTTTTCATTGAGGAACAATATATTAAAATTGTTCTACTATTTTTAGTTGCAGTTGTTTGCAGACTCGTAAACCTCAGTCCATCTTTGCTTCTGGGAGATTCAGCCTCTTCAAAAAGCTGTTTTTGCACCCAGTGACCTGTTGCCCGTTGAGTTGCAATATGCTCCAACAAACGTTTCTTATTTCACCTAGTCCTTAAAGTTGTTTGCTACCACTATCCAAACTTCTTGCCCAGAAGTTTAGCAATATCTTGTTTAACAAAAATAAAGTTTACTATGTTCCATTGTGTATAAAATATGTGTTTGAGAGATTCCTACTTTAGAAGTGGCACCACTATGCTTGCAGTCAGGATTATTATTATGTACCTGGACAGCATCGAGCATGGAGCGAGCTTGTTGCAAAGGAATAGTACTCTCTGCTTGAAGTGCCTCTAGTGGGTGGGAAACTTCTGAGAGCCATTTGTGCAGCTTCTCCACCATTTCTCTGTACTGCTGCCACTGACGGATGAGACCGTCGATGATCCCTCGCCTCTGCTGAGATCGCCTCACCACGCCCTGCCACTGGTTACTCAGAAGAGCCAGCTTCATGTTGAACTCGTCTCTGCAAGAGATTGAAGCAAAATGACCGCAGCAATCAAAGTTAGCAAATAAATGCCAATGGATTTAACAAATCTAGACCTATTAGACACAAATTGATTGATTATTGCCTACCATCAAAAAAGGGCAGTTTTGTATTAACCTAGATCTGAGAGTGTGTGTCTGTTAGCAAAAGATTTCACGACTCACTGGACATGTAACGCCTTAACATCCTGATGTATACTAAATAATCCAGGTAGAAAAATCTAACAATCTAATCTAAGATGAGAAAGTGCTATTTATAAGACTGAGTTTGTTGCAGCTCCTCAGACTGAAGAAGTCCTTTGGATAAAAGATGAAACGTTTCAACAAGAAGAATCCATCCAGAGGACCTGAATCTACTTTGTTAGATAATGCCTTAATCTTTGACGTCTATCCAATTCAAGATGGCTACCAAAGCTATTTGATCTTAAACAAATACATTTCATAATACATTTTTCATAATAAATACATTTCATAAATCATTTCTCCACAAATCAAAGCTTTCAGGAAAGTTGTAGATTTGTACCTGTCATCTACTTGGCCTTGTTCCAACATCTTCTGTCCGTCACTGATGATAGAGTGGAGGATCTGCTGCCGACTGAACATTTCAGCTTGGAATAACTGTAGACAAATACGACGATTATCAGGTAAAACTTTAAAACTAAAACACTTTTGTTGCACCTTTGTTTACGTGTGTGAATTCAAACCTCGTGGGCTTTTTGCTGCTCCATCAAACTCTGGTAGTTCCCAGAGATTTCCACAGCTAGATTGTCTTCTGTTTGGACCAGGAAGTCCATCCATGTCTCACACTTTTCAAGGAAGGTCTGCTGCTGCAGCAAGAACGACTGAATTTTGCTGCAAATAAACAGGAAAATTAGTAAATATAACGTTTAATTGCTGGAAAAAGGTCACTCACAGGGGATAAAGCCTTTACTTAACTTTTATTATTCAGTTTTTATCTCCTATAAAACAAAACTACTTTTTTTGTAAATGAATGTGTTTTTTGACTGTTTTGTGTTGTTACCTGTATCATTAGCAGGATATCTCAAGAATCACGGAACAGATTGTAATTAAATATTTCAGGGTAAGCATTAGGTTGTACATAAATCAATGATTATTAGAATCAATTCAATTTAAAAGCAACGTCATTGGAAATAGCCATTTTGTGTTTGCTGAAATTGGGTTAGCCAGTTTTGCACACATTGATTTGGTGCAACAGAAAGTGAGGATCATCCCGATCACAAACTTTGAGTGCAACACATTGAGCATCATCTCTGCTTAAAACCTTGGCGTTCACTTTATGAATCAACCCTGTAGTTCTGTTAGCAAAATATACACCATTACCTTCTGGATGAATATCAATGAGACCCTCAGAAAATTATCATCAGCTGCAGATCAACATGGCTGATACAGAAAAATGTCTACTTGAAAATTGTGCATAATGTTACTTACAGGGTTTGACCTAAACGGTTAGATCTCTGTCGTTCCTTAACTTTAGATTTTAGAAACCTCCGAGGTCAATCTCGGCCTTTAGTTGTGTTCTGTTCATCATGTCATACCTGAATCTCTCTGTGGTTTGTGCTGAAGCTGAGGACCAACTTCTGTTCAGGTTCTGCATGCGTTTGATCTCTGAATCGTTGAGGGGGAGTTTGTAGCCAAGCTCATTGAGATGCTCCAATTCAGGGGCCATGCAGCTAAATTTCAACATGAGCTTCTGTAAAGTGGCACAGATGTGTTACATTTTATTTTACATGCTGATTAAAGGCAGTGTTAATCAACTAAGAGAAAACAAAAAAAAACCTTCAGCTCCTCCATGCGTTCCTGGATGACAGTGAGGTCAGTGCAGCCGTTGGGATCTTGCATCCTCAGAACTTCCTCAGCTTCAACGACCCAGGAAGCCAGTGACTCCAGCTGTTTATTAAAGGTTTCAAAGTCCTGAACTCCAGTCTGACACAGAGGAAGATAGTTGTGGAGATGACAGATGGCACTCAAAGACCAACTACTTCGATGTAGAACTTGTGGTTCAAACAAAATGGTGCCTGTTTACCTGCAGGGTGGTAAGCTGTCTGTTCAGAGCTTGTTCCACCCCAGACAGCCTCTGCCTGAGAGAAAGGTGGTCTGACTGGACAGCAGATGCTGCCGACGTGTCCACCTGCTGTTTCAGCTGCTCTCCCAGCTCCTGGAGGATTTGAAGAGAGGCCTGCACTGGAACTTGTGACCGTAGCAGCTCCTGAGACAAGGAATCCATAAAACATTAAGCAACTAACTAATTTAAAAGTAAAAAAAAAAAAAGAGGAAAAATGTTTAGGTACTTCATCAATTTAAAGGGATTTAAAGTTTAAAGTAAGACATCTGACTGGCCCATGTATTTCTTTTAAGTAAATTCATGTAAAACACTTTGGAGAAACAACAAAAACTTTTCAATTAAATTTTTTTTTTTTAAACAAAAAACTCATCAATTGCTTAATATCCTTTCCCGAACAAAAAAACCTTTTCTGATAAAATTCCATCATTTTCAAGAACCTTACCGAGTCTCACTTCCAAGACATTAGTCAATAATTTTCTAAAACATCGTGACTCACGCTGCACTCTTGGATCCAGCTGGTGACGTCCTCGTCAGCCATGTCTTTGCTGCAGGTGCTTTTCAGGAGCTGGTTTGCTCGGTCTTCTTGCAGCTGGATGCTGCTGCAGCTCTGCTCATAAAGCTCTTTGTAGCGCTGCCACAGCTGAAGCAAGGCCTTGCTGCTTCTCAGACGCTCTGCTATTTCCTCCAGTAACCCATTCCATCTGAGTGCAACCACGACATGAATTCATATACACTGTCGTTTTAAATGCATTAAATTTTAAGTTGATAAAAGGTAAGGAACAAATTGGTAAAAATCACCTTGCATTGACGTCCTTGAGGGCACTGTTGAGAGAGTCGGACACTGAAGGGTGACACTCCCTCAGAAGTTGCTGGGTGACGGCACCAAACTTTCTCAAACTGCTTTCCTGTTTCTCCAGACCCTCTTGCAAGTCCTTCACAGGAGACACACAACATACATGTATGCCAACATACAGGACAACATTTAAAGCTAGAGAATTTCCAAAGAAATGTTAAAGGGCGCCAATGCAGCAGCTGCCACAAAATTCTTGAACTCTCAGCAACAGTTTACTTTGAAATCATTTTTTCTGTTTCAAAAGTGATTTGTGTAGAAAATATAAGTAAAAAAGACCCTTCTCTTCTGTTTCCAATGAAAATTTTGACAAAATATGACTGAATCAATAGGAGGTTTGATGTGTACTCTGTATTTAAAAGAAAACTGTACGTCCTACTGAAGCGAGAAACACACTGGGTGAAAAAGGACAAAACTGACTACGTTTTAATGTATGAACTACAGAAGAGAGTGAAAAAAGAGAAGACTGATTGCAAAAGGTTTGAAAATTTTAGTCATTTGATACAGTGAGACAACTGTCAGTTGAACATTCTGTGAAAAAATTGGTAAAAATTATCAAACTCAAACTGCAAAATAAAAAAATAAAAAAACATTAAAAATAGTAAAATTCAGGTTCAGTCATGTAAAGTCCAACCTGTTTTAACTTTGAATGATGCTTCTATAGTGAAGTGATGTATAATATGTCTTCCTTAAATACTTGTCTTTCTTGTGGGTACCACAAGGCTCTATTCTTGGTCCTCTCATTTTTTCTCTTTAAATGCTTCCACTTGGATCAGTTCTAGTGAGACACCACTTTTATTTTCACAGTTATGCAGATGACATACAGATTTATTTGCCCATGAAACCTACAAATAGTAACCATCAGACTTATTTTATTGATTGTATTGCAGACATTAAAAAGTGGTTTCACCCAGTTTTTCTGAAATTTTAATCAAGAATTGATGGAGTGCATCTTTTTTGGTTAAGATGCTCCTTGTAGCGGGTGCTCCGACATCCAAGTTCAGACCCACATTTAAAAACATGGGGGTGACTTTTGACAAGGATTTGAAGTCAGCTAAATAAAAAAAAAGCCTAATTAGACAAAGCCAATTTTTTAAGTTATATTTATTAACCAAGGTTAAGCCTGTTTTAAATTGTCATGACCTGGAAAAGGCTATTCATGATTTTATCAGTTTAAGCCTTGACTACTGTAATGCTTTGTATGTAGGGATCTCCCATTCTCCATTAGGCATATTGAGCTTGTCCAAAATGCTGCGTCCTGACATTTAACTAACTCCCCTGTTTAATTTTCTCTCTATTGACTCCCAGTTTGTTTTAGAATAGATTTTAAACTTTCATTGATCTCATTTAAAGCTCTTGATAGTCCAGCCCTGCCTTATTTAGCAGATCTAGTAGCTTTTCATGAGCATGAGAGGACCTTGAGATCAACCAATACATCTTTACCGTTTTGTCCCAAAGTCCAAATACAAACGTTGGGGTGACCGGGCCTTTTCAGTCACCGCAACCAGATTGTGGAACAAACTATGTCCGGACTTGTGCTCTTTCACTGATCTGGGCATTTTTAAATATAATCTTAAAATATTTTATTAAGACAGGCTTTTAATACCTAGTGATACTCTGGCATTTTTGTATAATTTTTATTGTTTGTTTTAAACTTTTGTACTGTGAAGCACTTTCTGGCTGTGGAAAAGAACTCTAAAAAACAACTGTTGATTGAATGAAATATGCCTGAGCTACAGAACAGGGCTGGGTTTTCGCATGTAATTTGCCAAAATCCCATTGAGCTCCATGATTTTTTCCCCAAACAGACCCCAGTCATGTTTAGGTACAGTATATAATTTGTGTTTTGTTATAAAATTGGGATACCGGACAAAAATATTTGCACAGAACAGTCATAGGGATGTACTGACACCCTTAAAAGATCTCCCAATGAAAAACATGAATTCTAAAGATTTTCAAACACTAAAAAATAATACAACCCTTCTAATCCTAAATGATGTTCTCAATACGACAAGATCTCATTCTGAAATACCTGCAGACTTTGCACTTGCTGCTGAACTGCCTCCAGGGAGCCCGTGAGGAGGCGGAAACGTGATACAGAGTACCTGCCCTCCATCAGATAGCCACTGATCTCTTCTGAAGCTCGTTTGTACAGACTCCACTGATCCAGCACAGATGTCAGACTTATCTTTAATTGTCCTATCTGAAAAAGATAAAATAAAGAAGTGACATTTAGTAAACTGGAAAGATCAGGTCTGAACAGTCCACATCAGGGACAATTACAAGAAATTAATCCAGTAACCACAATAATTAGGATGCTGCCCATCACTTCAGTGTCACGGTTTTTAAACAAAAAAACTGTGTGATTTGTTAGCGATCAGAGTATGTGTCGGGAATGACTCTCCACTACTACCACAAAACATCTTAACATCTGTAAAACTGTTCTGAGTTATAGCCTTTTTGTGCTAGCTAATGTCTAGTAGCTGTGCTAGCCGTCTTTATTGGATTCTGTCCAAATTTTAATCAGAACTCTCAGAAAGTAATTATTGGATGTATATTAATATCCAATAATTACTTTCTGAGAGTTTTATTTAAATCTGTTCAGTAGTTCATCAAATTATTTTGCTAAGAGACAAACGCATAAACACACACACACAGAGGCAACTGTGATTGCCTCCGTTTACGTTTCATAGCAGCAGGCAATAAATACTGGGATTGAAATGAGAACAGGTAAGTTACCAAGTGGTCCAGGTTAGCCCAGGTGTGGTTGACACTTTGGAGGGTCTCCATGACTATAGCACAGGCCTCGTCGGTCTTGTTCTGAACCAGGGCACAGCCCTGTTCCTCAACTCTTTCTAGGTCTTTTTCTTTTTCTTTCAACAACGCTTCCATTTCCTAAAAATAATTTGTAAAAAGAATAAGTTTTCATAATAAATAAAGATCCACGAGGGTGAGATTCTGAATGTAGAAGTCAATAAAAGTGTAATAAACCAACCTGGCAGTTTTTGAGAGCATTCTGTACCGATGTTAGATCCTCGATCCGGGGTTTTCTCTTTAACCTTTCTTCCTGAGCTGCCATCCAGGACTTCAGCACCTGAACACTGCTCTCGTACTCCAGCCACATCTTCAACAGGCTCTCCAGAAACTGGATCTAGAATTGTTTTATACAAAAGAAACTTAAGATTCTGAGTTGGTCTGATAATGAGGGCCTGGAAGGCCCTTTAATTTGATGACAGTCAGTGTCCTTTAAGGGGAAAAAATAAAAATCGAGCACCTACCTACTTAAAAATACTATTTTATGTTTAATTTTCCCACAAAAAACTGATCTATCTTTTATAGCTATCTCAGCATTAAAAAAATACCAGATTTAAATGACATTGTTGTTTTATTTTACCTCTTTAAGGGCCTTTTATAAAAAAAAAAAATCACATATTAATTTTTTGAATTAGCACAATATTTATTTTATTGCAGATTTTGAATAAAATAAAATTAATAAAAATAAGAATCTACCGGTACATTTCCCACACCCAAAATGATTTGATGACCGATTTCTTTTTTTTAAATTCCAGTTTTGGGAAGACCCTGTAACTTATAGCCCACCAGACCCTTTAGAGACAGACAGACAGACAATTAGACAGACAGACAATTAGACAGACAGACAGTTAGACAGACAGACAATTTATTAATCCCAGGGGGGGATTCGAAGTAGGTTTCAGGAAGCCCAACAGGTCAGACATTGTGTTTTTTCCTAATACTTTTTCATAAAAAAAAACAAAAAACCTTATTTCCTTTACTTTTTTACTATACCCCTGATAGACCTGGGGCGCTGACCCGGATATACTAGCAAACTGTGGGAGCACGGTACAATGACTAATGGCGCCCTGAATTGGGGGACGCTAACGGCCTGTGGATGTCCGATCCTGCAGCCTGCATGCATGTGAAGCAGATTTTTCAGACTATATGTTTACTTGTGCACATTTAAACATGAAGTACCACCTAGTGGGCTAATATAAAAATCAAAAGTATAGGGATAGAGGTAAAAAAAAAAAAATTCTGGGACGAATGCATTATTTTATGATATGGTTAATATGGGATTAGTTAAAAGCTGTTTTTTCCCCCTCAGGAACAGGAAAGTGTAGAAAAGTTACTGTGAGTTTATGAAAGCATTTAAAAAAATCTGACAAAATAAAAAAGTAGATGAAGTGGTAGGCTTCGTCAGAAAAAAAGGTATTTATTGACTGCACCAAAATAAAAAATAAACAAAAGCATGGAACAAAAAAGTGTAGCTTATTTTTCCCAATAAGGTCTTCCAAGGGATAAAAGAAAAGCTAATTCAATTTGACGCTGAGTTTTACAGTAGCATCCTCAGTAAATGAGACCTTACCCTTTCATTGGTGCGACCTTGTAGAAGCTGCCAGCGTCGGTTCATGGCTCCCAGACGCTCGGCAAAGTCTGTTTTATCACTGCGCTTGCTCTCCACGTCTTGACCACTGATTTGCAGAACCGACTGGTTGACAAAGTCCACAGTCAGCTGCTTACAACTTAAATCTACTCTGAATCCCTGAAATGAGGAAACAGTAGATTTATCATCTAAACAAGCACATACCTACTAATAAAAGTAGACATATTATCATCAGTGTTTCAAATACAGTTTGAAGGTTATTGCCACTCTGGTAATAGAATATTTGGCAAAGATCGAAGTAAAAAAACAACAACATAAAAGTACTGCAAGTTAGAAAAAGAGCTCATTACCTTGTATTTTTGCAAGTAGTCCTGAATTACGTTTGATCCCACAGCACTCTGGAGATTTTCTTCATCTTCCTCAATGACATTCTCCATCAGCGATATCCAGTTGAACAGCTCCGAGATGGCATGACGAGAAGCCAACTTTTCCATTTGGATCTGAAACGAGAAAAAGATTAACTACAAAGACAAATCATTAGCTGCCTTTCATGCCAGAGTTTTAAACTAAGACAAAGGGTGGACTTATTTTATTATTTCAGCTATTTTGGTTAAACCCTGTAAATGCTGTTAGGTACAATGATGTGTTCGTGCTTGAGTAAGTGCCAAGAATGACTTTCAGATTGTAACATCCCAAATTTTAGCTCAATATTTGTAAAGTTAAATTCTACCAGTTTTCAGTGGTGAACCATAACTATAAGAGCTAGGCCTTCAGACAGGATGAGATACTGTTTAGTGCTATCCTTCCAGTTAATAAACTTGGACATACATTGGAGTTGCCGTCCGTCGCCAGTTTCTTTTCGATTTTGCTAACAAGTGACTCGCAGACGGGACAGAGTTCTCCTCATTTTATTCATCAAGTAAGACACCAGTCTTATGATATTTTTTAAAGTCACTAACAGCAACCTGAACATAAATGCCAACCCAACAAGTACAACCCATCTAAACACAATCTGAAAAGTCGGAAAAAGTTAAATCTGGTCCTCTGGACATTCAAAAAAAACCCAAAACAAAGCAAAACAACAAAAAATGTAGAAACGTTTTGTCTCTCGTCCGAGAGACTTCTTCAGTCTGAGGTGCTGTATTCAGCTCAGTCTCTTAAATAGCACCTTCACAGAGTGGATCAACCAGTTTGCTGCTGACAACCAAAACCAGCTGATCACATGCTCAAGAAGGACCATCAGCCTCACAATGGATCATTAGCACCTGATGGCTGTTTACTGTTCACAGAGGGCTGAGTGATACTAGCAATCACAGCATTGTAAGAGGGGGACAGTTGAACACGGAGGCCTCCACCCCTGTTTAATGATGGACGGTTTCTTTTCACAAAGATGGCCTCCTTTACTCCTCTCTCAAACCATCGTTCCTCTCTGTCCAGGATGTGAACATCTTCATCCCTGAAAGAGTGACCTCTGACCTGGAGATGAGTGTAGACCTCAGAGTCCTGGCCTGATGATGTTGATCTTCTGTGCTGGGCCATCCTTTTGTTTTGGTTTTTTTTGAATGTCCAGAGGACCAGATTTAACTTTTTTCGATTACCCAGAAGGAAGTGCGGCTCACTCAGTCCATTACGATCAAATACAAGTAATTTTAATTATTCACAATGAAATTTAGCAGCAACCCACAAAACTTACTGTTTCTGTAAAATTTATTCTTATAATGAAACCAAAACACAAAATAATCAATGAAAACCTAAACGAAATCATTGATATTCATTTTTTAGAGCAACTACAGTTTCTGTGAGCATTTTTGAATTTACAGGTAGAAACAGAACGCACCAGGTACACAAATAAAAAAAAGAAAGAGAAAAATGCTTTTCAAGGCTTTCCCAAAGTCCAGCGTCCGTCCCGTGTTTTGGTCCTATCCCTGCTACATCAGCATTCTCATTAACGTTCCTGTCAGTTCTTCAACAAACTCATCCTGCAGAGACTCTGAGTTCAGAACTCCCTCCTGACAGTGAAGTTCTAACCAATGAGAGCTCCTTCTGTTTCTGCCTGGAGACAAACAAGTAAAATAATCTGATTAACCGTATTTATTTAATAAAGTAAATATTAAATAAAAAACCTAGGCGTAACATTTTATAGGTGCTGAAGTCTTAGGCCTTCTCTGAAGGCGATGAAGGCTCTGAAGGGTCCCTACTGCCAATTTTGTGTTGGCTAATGTCGACTTTCTGTGGCGGTCATCTTGAATCAGGTGATTCATTTAGTTGAAAAGTTGTCGGTGCACATCCAACGAGTAATTTCTGAGAATTTAAATAAAATTGATCCTGAGGTTTGTGAGATATTTTGCTAGCAGATATAATTATTAGACCTCAAACAAACTGTTAGCGCTCAGAATATTTCAGAGAGTACTCTTAGCTACTACCACACCAAAATTTAGCTTAATATCAGTGAAACAGACTATTTAGAGCCAAATTGTTAGCACTGGTGGCCATCTTGAATGAAGGTGACTCCCAAACTTAGTTGTGCATCAAAAAATTATTTTCTGAGAGTTTCAATAAAGTATAATAAGTTTGTGAGATATTTTGCTAATGCAGCAGATAAACGAACACATATCTGCGAATGCACAAACCAGCCAGTACGGAGCACAAGCCAGTATCTCTTGTGCCGGTCTCAAGTATCAGGAAGGGCACATGACGTAAAACACTTTTACCAAAAATAATATATGAGTTCATTTAAGCTACATCATACTGGATCGGTTGAGGCCCGGGTTAACAACGACCGCCACCGGTGCTGTTGACAAACAGGGTGCCGACGGTGCTACTGTTAGTTGAAGACCACGAGGAGGAAAACGTGTCAGGAGACCGAGGGAGAAGAGGAAAGTGAAGAATGTAGGAATGAGTGTGGACACTGTAAATGTGGGGGCAATGACAGGCAAGGGTAGAGAGCTGGCTGACATGATGCTGAGAAGGAAGGTAGATGTTTTGTGTGTCCAAGAGACCAAGTGGAAGGGCAGCAAGGCTCACAGCATTGGAGTAAGGATTCAAACCATTTTACCATGGTGTGGAGAGAAAGAGAAATGGAATAGGGGTGGTCCTGAAGGAGGAGTTATCAAAGAATGTAGTAGAGGTGAAAAGAGTGTCAGATAGAGTGATGTGCCTGAAGGTAGAATTAGAAGGTCTGATGCTAAACATGGTCAGTGGAACATTGAATCCTATTTGGCCTGAAGCAGCAAAGCTTATTCAGTTACCTGATGCAGCTTCTCTTGAACAACCGGGATGCGTGTGAGCAGCTCAGTCCACTGACTGTCAATGCGTGCCAGGTCAGAGCGCAAAACCAAGGTGTCTACTTTCTTCAGTCGCAGCAGCTGGTTGCCCTCAGACACCACTGAGCTCTTCAGGTTCGACCTTCCCTCCACTTCTTTTGAAAACTCCTGCAACCAGAAATTATAAATAAATGGAAATAACCAACTAGCATACAATCAAAAACAGTGAGATTATGCTACAGTAAATATGCACACGAAGAAGAAAAAGAAAAATCACAGCAACAAAATAGCAGCACAGCAATAGTCGATTTGAGTTCTCATTATTCAAACAGATAAACTGACAGTAAAACTTTATTTGTAATTCTTCTTGATTAGCTGTGATTATTCTGGGACAGTATTTCTGTGCAAACCAAAAAAATATTCCAGTTATGCTCACAACATGGACAGATGGACAGTATTTCTAATTACCCCTCTTTGCTCTGCAATGGGTGTCATCTGTGGCTTTTGTGGCTACTTGTGATTATTTTTATTTAGTTTCTGAGTCTGCTTTCTCCTGAGTTTCCTGTTTCCTCAGTGTTTCTCTCCTCATGTAGTCAGCTCCTGCCGCTCTCACCTGTTCCTCATCGTCTTTCCCCAGGTGTTCATCGTTGTGTCTCATTTGCGTCCCTTTAAGTTCAGCGTTTCCTCCTTGTCTGTGGATTGTGCTTCCCAGTCCTCATGTTCTGTTCCTCCATGCTTCGTTAGTTATGGTAAGTTTTTGCTGCCACGACAGCTTTTGCCCTTTCACTCAAAATAAATTATTTTATCCCTGAGTTCCCCGTGTCTGTCTGCACTCGAGTTCAGTCCTCACGCAGAACATTTTAATGGGTAACAAAAATGCAGCTCTAGCTCTCTGGAATTACAAAGACACCCACAAACACTCTGCAACTATTTTAAGAGATAATTTGTTGCAAATTTTTTTTCCAACATGTTCAAATTTCAAACAACAAGTCTGCACGCTTCTACTAATGCAAGGAAATCGAGAACCCTCGCAAATGCTTCAAGACATTTTGGAGACTCACTCAAGAATGCTGTTCACCAACTTGTCTCCAGTAGTCGCAGCCCAGTGATATACTGGATTAATCTCTGTCGTTTTAACAATTCAGCACACAGCAGTTTGTGTGGAGAAGTTTACCGTTTCAGTGTTTTTAGACACTGAATAGCAGTTTCTGGAAAAGTAAAATAAAAAAATGTCTGTTTCCTCACCAGGAAAGCCGAGAGATGGTCTCTGACACTTTCCAGCTCCTGTGGGACCAACACCGCCTGCGTGTTCCAAAACTCCAGACGCTCCAGAGCAGACTGCAGCCATCCACTAATCTCTACACACTCCTTTTGATACCTATAACCAGTGAGAATGTTAAATAATACCATGCAGTAATGGGAACAGACTTGATGTATGTATGTGCTGCAAGCAGATGATGTGTCTCTCACCTGGTCCAGTGCTTTAAGGTGGCCTCGAGACGCTGTAGCTCTTTGTTGACCTTGGACGTGTTGTTGAGCCAGTGTTCCCCCAGCAGTGAGAGCTGATTCTCCAGAGCAGGACAGCAAACAGACTGTAATAGATGCTTCCCCTCATCCAGTACCTGATGGAGCTTGTGCTGGTGCTCTGCCAGTCTTCCCTTCAGACCCTTTACAAAGAACAAGGACAGACAAGAATAAAGCAGGACTTTATTGCTGGATTTGCACTTGCTGAGAATAAGAGTGATGGATCCTGGCGAGTGCAGCGAGCAATTTTATCCACCATGAGGTGCAATGGTCGAGCCAGAACATTCCCTGAAGTAGCTGTTTCCGTCCATCCTGGAATCTTATGTACTGTGGAATCTGATTTGTTGAGTTATTTATATTCAGAACGACAATCAGCTTCTACCACACCAACTTTTTGCTCTATATCTGTAAAACTGACTGAGTTATTGTCATTTTTGTGTTGGCTACGCTTGACTAGCAGTAGTGGACATCTTGAATTGGGTTGACTCCAAAAGGAGATGCAGTTGCTCATCCGATGATCCGTTCAATGGATTGTGAGATTTGTATTTTAGTAACAGACGCATGAACGCACACACAAATAATTGCAAAAACATTGTCTGCCTTGGAAATACAAAAAGTGGGAGATCACGTTTTTTGCCCTGCTTTGTATCTCCGTGTTTGCGAGAACACCATTGGCATCAGAAGCATTTGTAATGGGGGTGGGGGAGACACTGGTGATGGTGGGGGTCCTCCCCTAGAAGATTTTAAATAAAGTAGATGCCATTTCCTGTATTCTGGTGTATTTTAATGGGTTGTTAAACATCTACATTTACCTACATAAGTAAATACTTGAGTCAATAACTATTTTAGAGAGCATCAAGAAGTAGCCTGACCAACAGCTCTCCTTGTGTGAATAGAGCACGCTCCACTTCTCTCACGCATCCTATCACCCCCACCCTGGTCAACAACTGCCGGAACTAACGTAGCGCTAAGCTAGTGCGCAACACAGAGGTGTCTCCCATTCCTCCCCCCACCCCCATTGACAAAAACCTCAAGGAGATGAGCGCCCTGCCAAGACAAGTGACCGAGGAGAAACACTGTGGTGAGTTGTTGTAATCAGGAAAACCCGGAGTAGACTTTAAATGGTATGAGTATTCTTCTATTAATTAAGTGGAATGGATCCATTCAAGAAGACATAGAAACAGTGCCGGTGAACTAATATTTCATGGTAAATGTGTGTGTGTGTGTGTGTATGTGTGTGTGTGTGTGTGTGTGTGTGTGTGGGGGGGGGGGTCCAAACTAATAATTTTTAAATGTTATGGGGACACGTCCCCTTCACATATAACTGATGCAATGCCTATGGAGCACACTAATCCTTAGGAAATGAAGTGATTTTGCGTCTCACCTGATACAAAGAGATTCGGTCCATCAACCTATCTTCATCCTCTTCCATTAAACCAACAGAGGGAACATTCTCTTCGACTGCTTCCAGCTGCCGGTTCAGACTCTGGTAGTCCTGCATCAAACGACTCCAAGTCTGAAAAATATATATATTATAGTAATTCAAAATAAATTGCTAGGATGTGAAATTCATACTTTTCTGACCTTTAAATATGAGCAAATAAACTTTTTAAAATAAAATTTAACACAAATTAGTGCCATCCGAGTAGATCACCAACAGCTAAAACATTTTTATATTAATATTTGTCAATTTGTCTTTAAATCTTATTGAGCCCTTCATGAATGAAGGGTTTGGGTTTCATGTTCATGAAATTGTCTCTACAATGTTCAAAATTTTATTTAGTGGAAAAACTGAATGTGTTAAATAAAAAAAGGCATTAAATTCGTTAAATTGTTCATATATTTTTATATGGAAAGAGGGGAGCTGTGGTAGCCCAGTGGTCAGTGCTGTGGTCCGGTAATCCTGAGGCCAAAGTTTGAGCCCAGATTAAGTCAGGAAGGGCACTGGACATAAAACAATTGCCTTAATTTTTGTGTGGTGACTCCTGCAGAAGGGAACAGCCAAAAGAAAAGCAACAACAACAACAACAATAAATTATGAATAAATGTAATAACTTTTCAAATATCTCAACTATTTGTGTGAATAAATACATTTCATAGTGGCTCCAATTTTTTACCCCCTCATGCTACTTTTAATTATTAGTTACCATTCAGCTAGTTTTAGCTAGCTGCTAGTTTTAGTTAGCTTTATGCTATTTTTAAATTTGAGTTAGAGTTCTTCAACTTTAAATTAACTTTATACTTGTTTTGAAAAAAAAAAATCACTGTAATTCCACTTTAATTGGTGATGTGACATCTGTGCTGTTGATCTCATGCTGCTAATTATCCATGCTGCTGATCTCATGCTGCTGCTGATCTCATGCTGCTGTATTCATTCATATGCATCTGCTCACCACAGACTCATGTTCGGTCCGCTGTTGTTACGCCGTATTGTTTTACATTATTAGTGTTTAGCGTAGCGTGTATCTTAGATCATTTTAAATTGTTTCTTTTTACAATTTATATTTTTGCTATTGTTGGGTGTAACTGGGACCCAGAGTACATAATTTTGTTCTACCTCATGTACCACATGTGATGAGAATGACAATAAACATACTTGAATATTTAGCTAGCATTTTGTTACTTGACATTAGTAACAAGGTTACAAGGATTTTTATTGTCATTCACATCACATGTGGTACATGAGGTGGAACGAAACTATGTACACAGGGTCCCAGTTACAGCCAACAAAAATACACATAGTAAAGAAAAACAGTAGTAAGATCCGAGACAGGAACTAAGAATAACTACATTCACTAAACTAAGAATACACTAAGCACTAATGGTACACAAACAATGCGACAAAACAACAGCAGCACTTACTTGAGTCTGCATGAGCAGATGAGGGTTAATGAACACAGCAACATGAAGTAATCAGCAGCATGAGATCAGCATCATGGATAGTCAGCAGCACATATCAACAACCAAGTGGCATTACAGCAATTTTCAGGGTTTTTTTCCACAGTAATTTTCACAGTGATTTTTCCTGGTTAGAGATTCATGAGTCTAACAGCCTCAGGGTAGAAGCTGTTCCTCAGCCTGGTGGTTCTACACTTAATGCTCCTCAGCCTTCTGCCTGAGGGGCGCGGGGCAAAAAGTGTGTGTGCTGGATGAGTGGGGTCCTTCATGATGCAGGTAGCCCTCTTCCTGCATCTGGAGGTGTAGATGTAGTAACAAGCATTTTGTAAATTTCAGCTTTTAGCTACTGATTTGCTACTTTTAGCTAGTTCTTTGCTGCATTTAGCTTTTATCTAGCCTTTTGCTATTTTTAGCTAGTGGTTTGCATTTTTCAACTTCTACGTAGTGTTTTGCTCCTTTTAGCTTTTAGCTAGTGTTCTGCTTATTTTAACTTTTAACAACTCAGTTTTAGTTTGTTCAGCAAATCTGTGAAAAAAAATATATCCCGACATCATGTTCTTATTTTTGTTTCTGCATGAGCTTGAAAATGCATCTTTACCTGCAGGATACTTTCCAGCTTCACTCCTTTACCGTGTGCCTCTTTCAGGACGCTCCGAACGTCAGCCAACGTCTTTTCCAACGCTTGACACTCTTTTGGAAGCAGGAGACCGCTGATCTTTCTGAAGTAAGTTTCTGTTAGAATCATGTGAGACTCCAAACCCTGAAAAAACTCCTGAAAAAAAAACAAAAAAACACAAAGTCACAACATCCTTCTGAAGGCACGCCTAACACCTGCCAACTTTAATGTGAGAGAGTTAAACAAAAATCATCTTATGATGAGAAGGAACAGAGTTATAGTTGTTTAGGTCAAACTTTGCTGCTGCCAGAGTCTTAACCAGCTCCATTGGCTCCCTGTCAAGTCCATAATTGAATTCAAAATCTTACTTCTAACCTACAAAGCTCTCAACAACCTTGCTTCATCTTATATTACAGATCTTATTGTTCCATATGTTCCTAACAGTTCCTAACTTTGCTCTCAGACTGCAGGTTTACTTGTGGTTCCTAGAGTTTCCAAAAGCAGAATGGGAGGAAGATCTTCCAGTTCTCAGGCTCCTCTCTTGTGGAACCAACTTCCAGTTTCTGTCCATGAGGCTGACACATTGTCCAGTTTTAAGACTGGGCTTAAGACTTTCCTTGTTGATAAATCCTATAGTTAGGGTTGGCTTGGGTTTCTTGAGCTAGTTCTGCTACTACAAGCTTAGACTGCTGAAGGACAAATTGACCACATTTCCTCTCTCTGCTGCTGTCTTTACTAGCGCTACTCTACCTGTTTGTATTTGTAATTATTTCTATTTTAACATGTTTACTGTCTTTCCTCCTATAGAAAGCACACCTGGATTATAGAAAGTACTCCTGGACTATAGAAAGCACACCTGGACTATAGAAAGTACACCTGGACTATAGAAAGTACACCTGGACCTGTCATTATGTGTCTGTTTCTACTTCCTGTCCTCTCAAACCCAGCTGGTCGAAGCAGATGGCCGCTCGTCCTGAGCCTGGTTCTGCTGGAGGTTTATGTTGGCTAAGGTCGATTAGCTGTGATGGATATCTTGATTTGAGCTGATCCATCAGTGATTGTAGTTCACCTAAATATTACCTTCTGAGAGTTTCACTTAAGTCTATACAGCGGCTCATGAGATATTTTACTGACAGGAAGCACAGGTGACTCCAACAGTTAATGGCAAAGTCTCTAAGTGTGTGTTGAAGATGAACCACACCAAACTTTATCTCACTGTCTGTGAAATTGACTGGGTTAAAGCCATTTTTTATGCTGCCAAGTTGCTTAGCTGTGGTGGCCATCTTGAATGTGGTTGACTCCAAAAAGTTAATCAGTTGTAGATGTGATGATTAATTTCTGAGACTTACATCAAAATCCATCCAGTGGTTCATGAGACAAGACAAGGGCAAAAACATAATTGCTTTTTTGCCTTCGGCAGCAGTTGATAAAAAAAGTCTGTTTTCTTGTCATGTTTCTTGCTCGAGTATTATTCAAAGGGGATTCAGAACTTAATTTTGCTGATTATAAACACTTTTTCAGCAGTTCACAGGCTGACAGTACCTTATGTTTGTCAAGGTGATTTTGAACTTCCTCCATAGAGCTGACAACAAGTCTTTGATCGGCAGACGTTTTGTCTTTGGCTGTGTCGACCAGGTCTCTCAGGTCCTGTAGAGCCCGTTCGTACTGTTCCTTCAGAGCCACGCTCTGGTTCATCCCACTGCGTCTAGAGCCCACCATCATCATTAACTCCTCGTAGGAATCCTGGGAAGACATGCCGAGCACCGTTACAGTGTTTTGAAAAATTATTTCTTCCCTTAGAGATGTCTTCAGGTTTTTCTTGTTTGTGTCCAAGCAGTGTATGAATGTGATAAAGCTCTGATTAGTCTCTACAGATTCAGATTATCTTTGTAGAGATGTAGTAGAGTGCTGTATGAATGTGTGTAGTAGAGTGCTGTATGAATGTGTGTAGTAGAGTGATGTATGAATGTGTGTGTAGTAGAGTGCTGTATGAATGTGTGTGTAGTAGAGTGCTGTATGAATGTGTAGTAGAGTGATGTATGAATGTGTGTGTAGTAGAGTGCTGTATGAATGTGTGTGTAGAGTGCTGTATGAATGTGTGTAGTAGAGTGCTGTATGAATGTGTGTGTAGTAGAGTGCTGTATGAATGTGTGTGTAGTAGAGTGCTGTATGAATGTGTGTAGTAGAGTGCTGTATGAATATGT